GGGCATTTCACTTATGGCTTTTACCTTTGCAGGGTCTGGTTTTATACCATCCTTGGAAATGATTCTTCCCATGTACTTCACTTCTGATTTTCTGAGTTGTGATTTTTTTCTTTGAAATGCACATTGCTTTCTCTTGCTCTATTATGCACTTTGCGCATGATCTTGTCATGTTCTTCGTCGTTTTTGGCTGCTATTAAAGTGTCATCAGCCAAACAATGCACTCCCTCTATGTCTCCAAAAGTTTGAAACTTTTTCTTTTGCAGAATCTCTGAGGCACTGCTTATTCCAAACGGCATTTTTAAGAACCTATACCTTCCAAAAGGCGTATTGAATATGACATTATCTGGAGTCTTCCGTTCGCTCTGTAGCAAGGGTCTCTTGTGTTGTAATCTTTGCTGTTATAATTTTTAAAAATTATTTTGGTAAATGTTTTACGGCGCTCACAACTGCATAAGGTCATATAAGTGCGCGGGTCACATTAAACTTTTTCAGTTGGTAGGAAATTTTTTATTTTGCCGGGTGGCGGCCGAAGCCTACTCTTATCTATTTTAGACCACCAAGGGATCTTTAACGGGCACAACTTGCACACAGGCCCTCCGAGATGTTTCGCCCTTGTTCGAGAAGGCTAGGTGTAGATCTTTCCCACCAGAAGATCAGGCTGAAAGACAGCAGTAAGGAGGAGCCAAGGATTAGCAGTAGAAAGGCTGCCGAAAGTCAGGAGCCCAGAGGAGGGGGCAGAGAAGGTGACGGGGTGGGTGCTAGAGAGCAGGAAAGGAGGTGAAAGGGGACAATTTTAGAGAAGAAAATGTTTCGATCTCTACCCGAATTCGAACACGGGACCTTTGAATGAGAGGCCAACACCTTAACATGTAGGCCACGAGAGCCCCTGTTTTAACATGGGTAGGTGTATTATATTAATTGTTGGTTATGCTGTTGTAAGAGGCATACCTTTAGTTTTTTGAAGTTTTATTAGGAGCTTTACGTACTGTACTTGCAACACAATTAGTTCATAACTAGCTGGGCCCCATTTCGATGAAAGGAATGATCGGTGCATTAACATTAACTGAAACTGAAAATCATTGACCTACTATATTTACACTGTACTGGAAAGGAGCAATACATCTTGAGAGATGCAAAAAATTAGAAGGTCTAAATCTATACTCTCAAAACAAAATGCGCCCCGCGAAATATCACTTCTGGCACTTCCGCCGTGAATGACAGCTACGAGGATTTGTTTCGTTTCTCAGTGAAATAGTCACAAAGGTCAAAGAAGGGCGGGAACGTTTTGTGATAGTATCGAACGGAACTACGACTTGAAATAAACAAACCAGGCGGATTTTCTAAAATTTCAGAGACAGATGCGTGTTAATTGTTCCCAGTAGCAAGAAAAAGAATTTGACAAAGGAGTCCAGAAAAAGCGATGATGGGCATCAAACGAAAAGGTCACAGTCGAATTTTGCACCAAATTAAAAAAAAGAAAACATGAGGCTAGATCTAGACGAGTTGCACACTTAAAATAGTGCTCGGTATTGCGCGACAATGCGCGATATTATCGAACGGAAGTACTGCTTGATATAAACAAACCTGGTGGATTTTCTAAAATTACAGAGACAAAAGCGTCGGTCTACAAAAGCGATCGGCCAAATAAAGAAATTTAGCTTCTGCAGCAAAACTGTCTTAAAACTGATAAAAAGGAAGGGCTTAATGATCTGGAGAATAGTTTAAAGAATATTTTGGCGTAAACCTCATGTCGATCGATGCAGCCATTAATTTAAATAGCAAAATTAGGCTGCCACAAATAGATAATAGATAATAATATATAGATCTAGTGCCACAGACTAGTGGTATTGCAAGAGAGCAACATCCAGAAAAAAATATTAGGAGTAGAGAAAATGATGACAGATGTTTGATAGGACAAAATGGAGCGACCACAGCAGAACTTTCGCCAACCATCCACGAGGTACATCTCTAAGAACCAACCTGTGGACTTTTTAAAAACAAAATGGGGATAATAAAGAGAAGTACATTGACCCATTAATAGCGCTGTGTTGAACGGGAATGGGTGCTATAAAAATAGTCCGTATTATTATTATTATTA